AAGCCGAAACCTACATTTGTTCCTTATCCAACACCTTTGAGTGAGTTCCTTCGATTTAGACACTAGAAAAAACTGTAACGCGTTCATTTTTGGACAGCTCTGGAAGAAGTCCTGGGAACGGCACTGGATAACGATCCTAAGCGGCTGAAAGTCCCAGCCTATTACAACGAGGTTGTGTTTGTTTCTCCATTTGCAAAGGTTTGAGAGGCTCACGGCTTTCTCTGTGTGGCCATAGTTGTGCTCGATGGTCAGCGAGAACAAGCTTGATGCCTTCCAGACTTACGCTGGGAAAAAAATCGCTGGCATCCGCCTGCGCAGGTGCATTTGACAGATCGACGTGCTCTGCTCGGAAATGCGACGAGGATTGGGAGTGAAAGGCGAAGAGGCTATGGTGGATGGAGCTCACGACAGGGACAACGTCTCGGACAACGAGGGGATTCACGTTGTCATCGACGACTAGAATCAAGGTTCTTCACTCTTCTGGTGGGATCGCGCAGGGACGTACACCTGGAGCAAGCCTGTGATGAAAGGAACGCACCCTTCTCCTCGAGACAGCCACAGCTCAATGGCCGTCGGGTATAAGCTCTATGTGTTTGGTGGTACCGATGGAACCAGCCCGCTCAATCATACTCTTTGTTTTGGATACTGGTAAGCTCCGAGTTGTATCGATTTTTTTTTCTTGTTCTTATCATCCGATGCAGCTACCAACACTTTGGTGATGTTCCTGCTCCGAGAGAAGGACATAGCGCGTCTCTCATCGGTGACAACCTGTTCATGTTTGGAAGAAGTGGGAAATCCAACGATCCCTCAGAGGAGGAGTACTACAACGACCTCCATGTTTTGAACACGAGTAATATCCTGTTAACTTTCCTTGTTTTCTTCTAAACTTTTTTTTTTCCCTGTAGATACTTTTGTCTGGAAGAAGATTTCTACCACTGGAGTCTCGCCTATTTCTCGGGATAGCCATACCTGCTCTTCCTATAAGAACTGTTTCGTTGTCATGGGTGGCGAGGACGGTGGTAATGCCTATCTAAACGACGTTCATATTCTGGACACAGGTACATACATTGTGCTGGTTTTAAACTTGCGAATTCATTTGCGTTTCCAGAAACAATGGCATGGCAGAGGTAAAGACGACTGGTGCCGAGCTGATGCCAAGAGCCGGGCACACAACAATCAGCCATGGAAAGTATCTTGTCGTGTTTGGAGGATTCTCCGATGATCGCAAGCTATTCAATGACGTCCATACTCTTGACTTAAGTACGTGCGCTTGTAGGTAGATTTGTTTCCTGTTGGTCTCTCATGGGGCTTTTATGTATTTTGTAGCGACTGGTGTTTGGGCGACTTCGAATCCCTCTGGTCCCGGGCCTTCTCCACGTTTCTCCCTTGCAGGAGATTCTGTGAACGCAGAGCGAGGCATATTATTCTTCTATGGGGGATGTAACGAAGAGCTTGAAGCTCTGGATGACATGTATTTCCTCGACACAGGTTGGCTTCTTCTTTTATTGACATTGCTGCCATTCTTGACAATATGGTTGCCGTTTTTCTGTGAAGAGATGCTGAGGGAGAAAGATCCATCAGAACCAAAGCTATCCATGCGTAAGGAACTTAAGAGAAGGCAGCAAGAGTATCGTGCCACGCCATTCATGCTAGACAAGCAACGGGATGCGGACAAGAGCTTGGTTTCATCTCACGGAGGTATCTGTGGAAAACCTTGGACCTCTCCAATATTTCCCTGTCAAACTCATGCTACAGAGTTTCAAGCTCACGTTCAGCCACTAGGCGAGAAGATGTTCAAGGCTAGAGTAAGCGACGTATTCAACTAGAAGCCTCCATCGATGGGAAGCTCTTCCATGGGCTGCTCTTCTCGTACAAGCCTGGCTTTGCTCAGGCAGTGCTATCTTACATGGCGAGGTTTGTTTCGTTTGATCCTCAGTTACTCTCTAACGCCAGGAAGGAAAACATCACAGAAGGAAACCACAGGACGTCCAAAAGGCCGTAGTAAAGGCCAAACCGAGCAGAGAGGAGTCTGAAGAAACCATGCATTGTGCGCATCGACGCAGATGACTGCATTTTGCCTCCATTGCAAAACCCTATATTTTTGTACAGCCAGAGCAACTTCTAGATGATGCTTACTACGCCGTGAAGAAATTTGGTTAGAAGGTGCTCACGCGGATCTTATAACCTCTGGTCCCTCGAAAACAGTAGCGTGGTTAGGATCCGACTGGCCTGTAAGCCTGTCAATTACTTTTTCTTTGGCGTTACGTGAATGGTTTGTCTCAAGGTGGTAGCCGTGAATCCAGTTGGAGGGATCTGCTCTGCCATGGAGAGAACACCTTCGGGCTGGAGTCATCCCTGGATTCCCGAGGAAAGGATTTCTGCATGGGACGCAGTGGCAGGGTAAGAGAAAACAGATGAGAAAACTGAAATGCAGTTCGTGTTTTTGGATTCACAGGTACACATCCTCGGCTGTGTATGCAGCTGCATTAGAGGATTTGGTTGGGTCGCTGACGCAAGGAAAGTTTGCCGACTTTGTAGTGTTGTCTGAGTCTCATTTTGGACAGGGCACGGGCATTTTTCCTCGAGTGGTTACGTTCATTGGTGGAAATATTGCCTTCATTTCTTAAGGCGTTATTCCATAATTATGTGGTCTTTTAAATATAGCATATTTGCAAGAAGATTGGTGAGGAGAAAGCAGCCAGAATCATCAAGCAGCTGGTAAAGACTTTCAAATAGATTTATTTGAGAGGCGTGGGTCACCAGGATCTCAAGCTCGACAACATTCTTTCCAAGCTAAACATGTGCGAGAAAGTGGTGATCAGCACCTTTAGGAGATATCACAACAGCGAAGTACATGGCAGCTGAGGTGGTGGAGAACAAGGATTGGAGCTCTACATGGCAGCCTACTCTACTTTCTTACAGACAAAGCCATGAACTGTTTTTAAAAAAGCCATTTCTGAAGGAATAAGACAACTGTTGTGTATGTACGTGTTTATAGACACACCTTTGAAGCCATGAGCTTGGTTTGATTCAGTACATGATATTTGTACATTAACTCAGGGCATAGAAATGATTTCCGTGTTTGATTTTATTTAGTGTTTTGCTCTCTCTCGTAAAGGTATTAGGTAAAAAACAAAAAAGTCTATATGTCGCTCTAGATCACAATCCTAAAAACGCTTAAAACATTCAAAAGGAAACGTGCAGGCAGAAAACAGTAAAACAGAAAAAAAGAGTGACTTGCACATACAAGAATCTCTATTCTATTGTGCTATTGCTATGTTTGCTTGAATACAAAACAGAAAAAAAAACCAAAAATACTTATCAATAAGAAACAGCATCGTTGCATGATGATCTAAACAGAACTAACACCTACCAAAGCTATTCTACTTGCAATAAAAAATCAAATTCAAATAAAATTTTTAATAAAAAGGTAATAAAAATTTCAAATTCAAATTTAATGATGATTAAAAAATGATCTTATATTCCCCAAAATTTGCATTATTATTTAATTGCATTATTGTCCATTTCTCTGGAGATGAATAGTAGCAAAATTAAGATAAATTTAACATTGTTTACAAGCATAATTTCTGACATTGTAAAATTAGAAAAGAAGATCTATTTCTCTTGGGTATGGTATATCTCTCAGTAGATATTTCAACATACTCTTTGTTCTATAGAATGAAACCTTTACAGAACAAAGAGTATTTGATTAATTTGATACTACATTATTAAAATTAAACATAAGTTTGTAGTACAAAGATGGTACAATAGAATGACTATAGAAAATAATATATTTCGATCAAATATAGAAATATGATAGAAAATAACTTCTATTCAATGCTATTTTCCTCTTCTATTCAATAGAAGAGTTGAATAGCTCCAGCTATTACAGCTCCTCAAAAACATTGTTATAATGCAATAATATTGAATAAAAATAATTGAAACATAGAGATAATAATCTTAATTCATATTAGCATTATCTTAATATAAAACTATATACAGAAATAATGATAATGACATATAATATATAATTTTAACTTTTCATTAGTTACTCTTAAAAGTATGAATATAAATACTATGAATGGGGAGGATGTCAAATACAAATATAAAAATACTATAAAAATAAAATAACATCCTATGTACTTATAGAGAATTTATTATATGTAATTTTTTGAAAACATAGAATTCAGAAATCATAAAAATATTTTAAAGTATAATATGAAGAAAATAGTTTATATAACAATATGATATATTCTAACTTAAAATAGATAACTTAATATTTCTAGCTTCTTCTTCTGTATAATAATTTAGTTTCTATCAGTAATCTAATGGTACTTATTAATATATAACGGAAATTAAATACATTTAGTTGTCATGCCTAAGATATATTCTAAGATTTATTTCATTCATCATCAATTGAAACTTACATATATGAAATGTATCGATATACCATTCATGACTTTTCTGATATATTATTGTTCTAGAATAAAGAAAAGAGTTGTAAATAATCGAATCC